AGAAGAGACATTTTAAATTACTTTTGTTTGTATAAAGATATCCATTTATTTGAAAGGGGATACATAGATCATACAATGCAAACCCAGTGAGTATGAAGAAGCCAATTCAGGTGATAAGTCTTAGGTCAAGGCACCAGGCATTTTCCCACTAAGGATAACATATTTAATTCTACTTTTTTTTTAATTGTTTCATGACATATCATTTTTTAGAAGGCACATGGGAGAAGCATGTCTATTATTTTGAAGACAAGCCTTGAGTTACTAGCCCAGTCAAGAAGCAAATGATGGCATTTGTGGGAAATAGGAAAAAATGAATTACTGAAATGTTCTTTTTGTCCAAAAAGTTAACAGAGAATAGTGATAAACACCCAAAATATTAATTTCTACCATCGAAATAAATAGAGCAGGTGGCCACTATTATAATCCAAACAGAATGTGAGACTGCTCATCTTCCAAAAACAGTAAAAGGGACCACATTTCCTATATAGAGGTCATGCCAAAACAGAGAGGTATCCTGGATATTTTTGCTGGATGGAAAATGAAATCTACAAAGGTTACTTACTTCATGATCCAATTTGAAATCGGTCATTTAGAATACACTAAAATATAAATTAACATGATTTTTAATTTTTTAAGTCTTAGTGCTACAAACCCCCACATTCTACTCCTGTAAAGATTTACAGTCTTAGAAACCTTCAGCTACAGTTCTACCCTATCCTGTAGGGTTACTATTAGAATCAACTTCATGGCAGTGAGTTTTTTTTTTAATTGAGCCCTGCCTGTATCTAGGAGCCCCGTAGCTTAGTGGTTTGAAACCCCCAGCTGTCCCAAGGGAGAAAGATGAGGCTTTCTATTCCTTTAAAGATTTACAGCCTCAGGAATCCACAAGGCAATTCTACTCTGTCCTAGAGGGTTTCTATGAGTCAGTCAACTCAATGGAGGTAAACTTTTAGTCCTCTATCTAGATTCATGGCTGAGAAAGGCCCTTTACTTATAAATGATGATGATTTAAAGATGTAACATTGAAGTGCTGAGAAAGTAGACTGCATTAACCTATGATATTCCCATGATGTGGTGATAGGAAACAGATGTCCTTCTAAGATTAAACATTTAATAAGAAGTGTCTTAGTTGTTATCCATTGGTCTGTTAACCAAAAGCCCAGCAGTTTGAACCCACGAGCTGATCCCTGGGAAAAAAATGAATCTTACTGCTCCAGTAAAGACTTCATAGAAACCCTAAAGGGCAGTTCTACCCTGCCCCACGGGGTCTCTATATGACTCAGCATTGACTGGATGGCAGTCAGTTTTGAATTTGTTTGTTAAACTTACTAGGGGGTAGCCCTCCCGAAAATGGACTTTTTTTCCCCACAGCTATGTACGTAATTTTTTTTTTTTTACGAAACAACTGTCACTTTCAAAGTATTCTGCATTACACTTAATACACTTGACAAATCTGCAACTCCATTCTCGGAAACATTTTTCAAACTCATCCATTTGGATTGCTGACACAACATCATCCTCATTTATTCTTCACCTTTTCTACATTACAAGGTCAGGTGAATACAGTGCAGGGTAAGAGAGGCATGCTGTTTTTTGCCAAAAACTGGCACACTGAAATGACTATGTGAGCAGGTGCATTGTCTTGGTGGCAAATCCAGTCCCCAATCTGCCACAAATCAGGCCTTTTTCTGTCTCACTATTATGCAATCTTTTCAGAAACTCTAAATAGAAAGCTTGATTAATAAGTTTGACCTGGTGGAACAAACTCTACATGCACAATGAGTCAATGTTTTTGTCCATTTGGGAAGTCGATGGACATCCAGCCCAAGGTTTGTCATCAATCAATATTTCACCTTTTATGAAACAAGAAAACCACTTGTAAACTTGTATTTTTCCCATAACGCTGTGCTTATAAACTGTGTTCAACATCACAACAGGTTCTGTAGCATTTTTCCCAAGCAGGTAATATAATTTCACAGCCACATTCTGTTCTCTTAAATTGGCCATC